AGTTTGCAGATTAAGGGTTAAAACCAGCCGAAGTACCCAGTAAAAACCAGGTAGCTCAATGAACAGCGTTTCTCTCTCTAGTTTGAACTCCGTAGTAGTTCACATACGCCGAATCAAACACAAGACCTTCAAGTTTCATGAGAAGTATGTCTTTTTTAGACCATTTTCAGGACACAGTAGCGCTTATCCTCAACTTCAGTGAATTCGTAATATTATGTAACAATTATCTACAATCATTGATAATACGTGGTATCTGATAAAATCAAATCAGTATTAATAGGTACATATATCCTGAATAATTTTGATATTATCATTGTAAACGGAATAGATACATAATTTGATTAAATGCATGCATATATACTTGTTTCAACTATATAGAGTTCTGACTGAAAATATGGAATTATTTTATATACAAATACTAGTTAAGATAACATAATAAACTACTTATCATTTATGAGTGGTCATCGATTAACAGCTAAGTAGTTAATGAACTACAAGTAGGTGAAGTAATTGAGTAACGTAAATATCGGTTCATCAGACAAACCAATCATAAAAAATGATAAATATTTGATTAGAAGTATACTGAACACTAGTTAGAAAAATAATATACTACTACACTGTACTTAGATAAGACGGTATTTTTGAATGTATACATTCAAAATTTTCGCTAGATAAAATCGCAGGTAATTTCATTTATAATTAACGTAAATACTAAATGTTAAGCTACGATTGATGACACCATTGTTTACACTTGAGTTTAATGAAGAATATATTAACAACTTATTACCTATTAAAATATCAAACCGATAAAGTAATATATCTAAAAAATAAAAGTGTACTGTCAACTTAAACAGAATGGGTGTGAGTAGGGTTTTCTTGTCGGATAACTGGCACTGCAAAGGATGTTAACTTCTTAGCACACAGAATTCAGTTAGCGAAAATAAACTTTAAAAGAAGTGCATGATCTCTTGCACTACGGATCGTCAATATCAGTAACAAAGTTTACAACATCAACTGCGATAGACTTGTCGTGTGTGATTTGTGTCAAGTTTGTGTTCCTCAGACACTAGAGTCAGATTTAAAGACTAACAGAACCATCGTTTGCTTCCAGTTTTTCACGAAAATTCGTTTCCACGATGTGGACAGTCAGAAGTACCAACTGGTTGACAAGGTGCTTAATACCAATCCGTAAGAAACTAAAACCCTACAGTTTGAAGGATAGTTTTGAATTTGTACAAAAGCTTGATAGTCTAAATGCTTCCAACAAATTCATGATCTCGTTTGATGTCTCATCACTCTTCACAGAGATCCTTTTGGAAGAGATATCAGAATATGAATATCCTGAACTTCTAATTCACATGGTATTATTTGGCTTGTATCTATCTTCCCATTGAGATTTAAGACTGGAATTGTTCATTGCTAGCCACTATCCATCATTGCTTACAAAAAGCTTGTGAATATATGTAATATCGAGGCATACGCACAGTATGCACATATGCCGATAACAGACTGATCAATTGCAGTCTTAAACCTCAATAGGAAGATACAAGCCGAATAATACCAAGTGAATTGAAATTCACCCCATCGCACAGGCAAGTGGCTATCAGGACTCAGTAGCTAAGTGGATAACGCGATGGTGTTTGAAGCGAATGGTACTGGGTTCGAGTCCCGGAGTGAATTTCAACTCTGAGATGCAGGTACATCGAGCTGACGAGTCCCAAATAGGACGGAACGCGCGTCCTGGATTCCACTAATAGCCAATATCCATCATTGCTTACAAAAATACTGAACTTTTGTTTTTGCTAATAAATGAATTCAAACACCTGTTTCTGTGTACAAAAAACATACAATTTCGATTTAGCAATGTCTTGTACCGCCAAATTGGTGGAGTAGCCCTATGGGTCCAATTCTAGCAGATACATTCGTGGGAAACCTGGAACAGAGGAAGCTCAAGCATGCAATCTATGGAACTACACTCTACTGTAGACATATTGATGACACATTTATCGTCTGCAACAATCATAAGCATTCCATAAACCTACTCAATCTGTTCAACAAAGCACACAAGGATATAGATTTTACTATGGAACAAAAAGTAGAAATTAAATTCCATTTCTTAGATATTGGAATCAGACGAATGTCAGACGGCACATTCACCGCAAAAATACCTGGAGTGGAGTTTATCTCAATGATCACAGTTTCTGTCCAATGAGTTACAAAAAGGGTAACGTATGAACCCTTTTTGACCACGCATACAAAATTTGCTCAAAGGAATGCCTGAAAGATGAAATTCCTCTCATTACAAATTGTCTGTGGGAAAATGCATACCTGGCGAAGTTCATCCAGAAATATGCCGAAATCAACCCTCGGGCTAACTACGATACAATTGAAAAGAAAACCGGCTTCTTATATTTGAGCTTTAAAGGAGATTAAATCAATGGAATAATTAACCACAGGATAAATTCCACGTTGAAGGTGACTTACTCATCAGCAAAACTGACGACGGTATAGGAAACGAACTGCCCGCCCAAACAAACTAAAATTGTATGGTCCTCTTTTCTCAGTAGCTCCAACTGCATTTACCAACTTATCTGTATATGCCAAAGTACATACATTGGAAGAAGTCGGAGAAGAGTACATGTCCGTATTTCCGAGAATGTTCCAAAGAACTTGAGACTGCGAGGGACAAGGTCTCTCAACAATGCAATAGCTCGGCATTTACTTGACACTGGGCACACTATTAACATTCCTCAAGCTTCCAAAATTTTTAGAAGACAAAGAAATACTGCTTCTCTTCGGTTCACTGAAGCAATTGCGATAAAAAAACACTAAAACCTGATATATGTATTAAAAAAGAAACAGTAATAAATATTTTACTACCCTGGTAAATCATTTTTTATCATTATTTCGTTATGTGTTCTTCCCTTACCAAATCCTAATTTTATGTACATTTAAACCACCCTTTCACATGTACATTTCCACCCACTCAATTCTCTTAATTTATGTGAACTCATCAAATCCTGTTCAATTACTTTACAATCCATCTTACCAGTTTTTTTAAAAACCAGGAATCTTGTGCAAATCCTTCATTACCTCTAAAATTATCACACAATTTATCTTATGTCTCTGAACGTCACTCAATTATTATATTACCACCCCTCATATATATTTGGGGTTGCAAGCAGCTGATGGGAAACCACAGATTATAATAACTTTATAATATTCTGCATGCATATTCGTTCTGGCTTTATTTAATTTCCATAGTTTGCATTACAAACTAATTTTAGACAACTATTGAGAACCAAAAAGCACTGGACAGCTATTCTGGATAGGCATGAAGTATACAACCGAACGATCTTAAGGTGTGAACCGTCTTACCCAGTCAGGAGACAGAGAAAGTGAATGAATCATTATGCTAGGAATTGAGATATGATTTTAAAACTCTTGTATTACAGTCGACATCAGCTCATGATGAAAACCCTAACTGTTTCGATATTCACTTGGTGATTTTTATCGTTCCACGTTAATTCAACTGTATACTTCAGGCCAGCCCCGTTTAGTCACAGCATAGAACTCCTCAGCAGTCCTTAAGTATGACTCCACCGGAAACTGAACACAATACTTTCAACTTTTGCAGCGAGAGTTAGTCTCTAGACCACTAATCCAGCAATCCAATGTCACACGCATTTAACCTCAATTAATCCGCGATACTAATCAATTAACTTCCAATGTCATTGATGGGTAATTCCTAGGTAGAAGAATACGAATACATCTGACAAAACTAAATAAATATTACTGATGAACTGATGAAATGCAAATAGGTGCCATTTCATGAGGAGCTTTTTCTTAATTTCAAGAAATGGCTAAGGTATTGAAGTAAATCAAATCGTAATTGTTAACAGACCTAGGTTTAAAATGCTTCCGTTGGATATATCGCTTTCAGTTTCTCCAAACTCATGACTACAGTTTTTTAGTAAAGCTTGATTGTGTTTGGCGATGGAGTTCAAAGCGCATGTTTTCACTATTTAGGACTCTTCCTGTGGATGAATTCCCATCTCATTTCTATTATCTACACCGAGACTCGAACCCAGACCCTTTCGCTTTAAACGCTCAACACATTATCCACTGGGTCAGTGAGTTCAGATAGCCACTACGTGTTATGTCCCGATAAGAATAATGAATGGTAATTTTTGGGATCCATTTGTGGACCAATACTAAACGTATATTTTTATCGTATAATTGTTCATTAACCAAACTATTCATATTAATGTCTCTCTTATCATAAGCTTTATTTTGACTTATGAACTATTATTATACGATTTCCCATTCTTGAATTATTCCCTGTCTATTAATTACTATCTCCCTTATTCACAGCCACATTTGGCCAAATCTTGTAAAAATGTTGTTTCCTATTTTATTGGTACGATGTGGTCTGTTTGTTTGGTATATAAACCCAGTATGTTTGAAATAAATGACTCATATTGCAGAGGCTGAGATTGGTATTCTGAACTTAACTGGCTGGGCTAGGACCAATAAGGACTCTAGACTGTTCGTACGGGTTTTATGCGTCATTGGTCCGATCGATAATTCACTGCTTTCTAATTGGCGGTATCGTTACGTTATACATTAACAGGACACACAGGCCACAAGTTGTAACACTACGTTGTACAAATTGTGTGAATTTTACTGTTTGTATTTTCTCATTGTTGATGTTAAGGATTGCAAATGATTAGTCTCCTTTGGTAGGTATGCATCCCGAACGGATCACCTCGATATTGACATGCAGTCACTGAAACTTTCAACAACAGTTGTGAAGTAACATGAATAAACTTAAAAACAACCATCAGACTAATATTGTAAGTTTCACTCACACTCTTAGAACTAACAAATCTAGTCAGAAAAGAAGTTAGTATTATTTATCTACCTTTTTAATATTAAAAAATTATATACACTGTATGACAATCACAATTTTAGAAACAATAGACATCGTGATTATACTGTTATGAAGTTTGCACTGCTTCGTTCGGTTTATTGGGTTCATTAAAGCCAATCTTATTTAAGTTAGATTTTTTCCTAGCAGCTTTAAGCTTTGGTTTTGTTTTGAAAGTTTCGCTTGACAAATCAGATTCTTGTTTACTATTCCCAATTTGATTTTTGTGGTAATCCGTTAAATGTTGTAACTATAAGAAATTGACAAAAATGCACAATAATACAAATAGAAGAGCTTCCAGAACAATGATACAATGAAATGGTTTGAAAAAGTAGAGCATATATCTGATATAACGGATGTTTAAAATACTTACCTCGCTCTCAAGTATACTAGGATAATAAGATTAGCGTACTTACCTAAGCAAGTAGGCTGAATGCCTGTTTGTCTACACACTGATTAATCATATTTTAATTTCACTATCACATATATCAATATCAGTATTTAAACAGAATATATTGATATCATTCAGGTAACAGAGAAGCATCAGAAGAGTAATTTAATGTTCATACTTTAATTTTTATACTCCAAAGACAAATTAAGTTGATGAAGATTAGGGAGTGAGATATATAAATGACCGTATTATGCATTAAATCATGAGGCTTCCTGAAAAATACTACGACCAATAAAATCATAAACAAAGATGGAAGTCCGTTAGCTTCGCATAATATAGCAGTAGATACAACTCTAAAAGTATACCAGTTAGTCAACCGTTTTTGTTTATATCCTAGCTTTGAATTATGATTCATCTAATGAAGCCTCACTAGTTTTCCGACGGAGTCATCCCAATTACATGAGTACTTATACCCTACCTGAATTCCTTGTAGTAGAAAAAGATGAAGTCAATCATAAATCTGCATTTAGTTATATTTCGATTGTACGTCAAGATTGCCAGTTGGATCTTTCAATGACGCTATTAACCAATATATGTATTGAAAATAATCTTATTTAAAAAACAAAACACTATTTATTTGATCAGCAGTTTGAATCAGTCGAAGCTTCAGAAAATTTCAAATGTTCCCATATCCTTTTTAGGCAATAAGTTCTATACTGAGTACAATAATATATGTTCTATCTTACAGTCAACAAAGAATGAGCACACGGTCTGACTTTCAATTGTATCTGGTACATGTATATATCCAAGAAAATGTATCAAGACGATAGAAATCAAGAAAATTGTCACAAGACATTTTTTAAATTATGAGGTTAGTGAGATCCAGGTAGTTTTTTGGTACGTTTGTCTGATTCCGATTAGATCATATGATGATGTTAACGAAATATACAGCCCCGATACCTTCGTATATAAATATCGACTTAATTCGTGTTAGTGAATAACGGAATAAAATAAGTCAAATAAGGAAATGAATTTCGGATGCGTATATATGATACACTCGTTGATCCAGACAGATATTCAGAATGAAAAACGGGAAAGCGAAGCTTAGGAGAATGAGCCAACTGAACTTCCTCAAGTGCGACTGTATAGTGGCCCGATATCTGAATTGAGGTCGATCGTATGAATGATTGTTATTGAAATACACATGTCATCTATCCTCATATATAATCATCGACTTAATCCGCGTTGGAGAATAACGAAATTAAATACGCCAAATACAAGAATGAATTATGAATGTGTATATTTCATGCACTCATTTATTTGAACAGGTAATCAGGGAGAAACAGGTTGAAGAAGGTAAGTGTGTCAACTCAATTTAATTAAGCGTTAATCAATATTTATAGCCAGATAAAAATAAGCTACAGATGTAATGAGTAGGATTAGATATGCACACACATACGCTTACACAAAAAAAAACAGAATGAGGTCAAAATGTGGTTTAAGAAGAATGAATAGATTGACTTGTTCGGAAGCTAGAATAAACTATGTGGGTTTAACATAACACATGATGTTACACTATTCCCCACAACTGTGGTGCTTGTATGAGTTAATGATTCTTTTGTACTTGATGTGGGCCTGATTTCGAATTCCAAATACAATACGTCCGTTTGTGCTCACTTAGTCCTATTTGACCTTAATTGCGTTATATATGGGATCCCTAGTTCTTATACTGCTAAATATCACAGTGACTCAATATTTATAGTCAGAGAGAAATAAGCTATAGCTAATCTGAAAGCGCACGAAACCAAGTTGGTCACATTCAAATACTTCCTACACCTCCTAATACCACTCTTATCTCCCCGACTAACCCTTCTCACGTCCTTTTATCACCTCGCACCGCTACTTACTTACTTACGCCTGTTACTCCTCGTGAAGGAGCATAGGCCGCTCACCAGCATTCCCCATCCAACTCTGTCCTGGGCAATCCTTTCCAGCTCCTTCCAGTTCCTATTCATCCTTTTCATATCTGCTTCTATTATCCGACGTAATGTGTTCATAGGCCTTCCTCTTTTATGCTTCCCTTTAGGATTCCAAGTTAAAGCTTGTCTCGTGATGCAGTTTGATAATTTGCGTAATGTATAAACTATCAATTTCCATCGTCTTTTCTTAATTTCTTCTTCAGCTGGAAGCTGGTTTGTTCTCTCCCACAGAAGACTGTTGCTGATGGTATCCGGCCAATGGATGTTGAGTATCCTGCGTAGACAGCTATTTATAAATACTTGTACCTTCTTGATGGTGGTTGTTGTAGTTCTCCAAGTTTCAGCTCCATACAGTAGAACTGCCTTGACGTTGGTATTGAAGATTCTGGCGTTGATATTGGTTGAGTTGTTTTGAGTTCCATATGTTCTTCAGTTGTGGGAATGCGGCCCTCGCTTTGCCAATCCTCGCCTTTACGTCTGCATCTGAACCTCCTTGTCCATCAATGATGCTTCCCAGGTATGTGAAGGATTCTACGTATTCCAAAGTTTCGCCACCAAAAGTGATTGGACTGTTGTCATCCGTGTTGTGTTTGAGGACCTTGGTTTTCCCCTTGTGTATGTTGAGGTCTACTGATACACAGACTGCTGCTACACTGGCTGTCTTTATCTGCATTTGTTCGTGTGTATGCCATGGGAGGGCCGGGTGATCTTCAAAGCCCAAACCCTCTAATTGGTTCTGAGCTGCCCATTGTATGCCGTGGTTTCCCTCAGATGTCGAGGTCTTCATTATCCAGTCGACCACCAGAAGAAAGAGGAAGGGAGAGAGTAAACAGCCTTGTCTGACTCCGGTCCTTATTTGGAATGCATCTGTCAGCTGTCCTCCATGCACGACTTTGCACTGTAGTCCGTCGTATGAGTTCCGGATAATGTTGACAATCTTCTCAGGAACTCCATAGTGTCGAAGAAGTTTCCATGACGTTCTCCTATCCACACTGTCAAATGCCTTTTCATAATCAATGAAGTTGATGTATAGTGACGAGTTCCACTCAACTGATTGTTCGACGATGATCCGTAGTGTTGCAATTTGGTCTGTGCACGATCGATCCTTACGGAATTCAGCTTGTTGATCTCGAAGTTGGGCGTCTACTGCATCTTTCATCCGGTTCAGCAACACCCTGTTGAAGACCTTCCCTGGTATTGACAACAGTGTAATGCCTCTATAGTTTTCACATTTGCTCAGATCTCCTTTCTTTGGAATCTTGACGAGGTGCCCTTCGTTCCAGTCCATCGGTACTTGTTCCTCCTCCCAAATCTTTTTGAATAGAAGGTGTAGCATGTTTGTAGTTACTTCGATGTCTGACTTCAGTGCTTCAGCTGGTATGTTGTCCGGTCCCGCTGCTTTCCCGTTCTTGATTTGTCTGACGGCCATTCTGATTTCTTCCTTCGTTGGTGGGTTGACGTCTATGAGAAGATCTGTGTGTGCCGCTTCGATGTCCGGTGGATTCATTGGAGCCGGCCTATTCAGGAGTTCCTCGAAGTATTCTACCCATCTGTTCCGCTGTTGTTGAATTTCAATGATTGGCTTGCCTTCTTTGTCTTTGACCGGTCTCTCTCGTTTACTGTATTTCCCTGATAGTTTCTTCGTTGTATCATAAAGCTGTTTCATATTTCCTTCTCTAGCAGCTTTTCCCGCCGTCTTTGCTAGTTCTTCCACGTATTTCTTCTTGTCGGCTCTAATGCTCCTCTTCACTTGCTTGTTTGCTTCTGTGTATTCAGCTTGTGTTTGGACTTTCTCTGCTCGTGTTCGGCTGTTGTTTATTGCTGCCTTCTTGTTCTTCCTTTCTTTGATCTTGTCCTGTGTTTCTGTAGAGATCCATTCCTTATGATGGTATTTCTTTAGACCCAGGACCTCTTGACATGTTGAAGTTAATGCTTCCTTGATGCCTTTCCAGTTGTCCTCCATAGGAGTTTCTTCTTCTTTCAGTAGATCTTGTAAGGCTTGGAACCTGTTGTTGAGAGCTATCTTGAATTCATTGAGTCTGTCAGTATCTCAAAGGAAGGCTGTATTGAACCTTTGTAGTGCTGTTTGTCAAGTTGTCCAGTTTTTCTTTAGCTTCAGTTTTAAATTGGCCACAACTAGGTGGTGATCTGAAGCTATATTAGCTCCTCTCCTGGTTCTCACATCTTCCATTGTCCTTCGGAATTTTTTATTGATGCAGATATGATCTATTTGGTTCTCTGTAGTGTTGTCCGGTGAGATCCATGTAGCCTTGTGTATACGCTTGTGTGGAAATATTGTGCCCCCTATGATCAATTTGTTGAATGCACATTTTCGTTTCTCTGTCCCGGTCCATGTCGTCCCATGATATCTTCACATACGGTGTTGTTTATTCCGACTTTGGCATCTAGATCTCTCATTAGAATGGTGAGGTCGTTTCTTAGGTACTACTCTATGATTGACTGCAGCCGCTCGTAGAATTGATCTTTAATGTCGTCGTTGCTATCATTTGTGGGTGCATAACATTGGATAATATTCATTAAGATCCCCTCCTTCTTTGTTTTGAACGATGCTTTGATGATTCTGGATCCGTGAGATTCCCATCCTACAAGTGCATTTCGTGCATCTTTGGACACATTAGAGCAACTCCCTGAGTGTGTGGAGCATTTTCTCCTTCGTGTTTGGAGTATAGCAGCATCTCTCCCGTATCGAGCCTTTGTTGTCCAGCTTGGGTCCAATGGGTTTCGCTGATTCCCAGTACTACCAGGTTGTATTTCCTTATTCTGTTGCTATCTGACTGATCTTCCTGGTCTACCACATTGTCCGGATGTTCCATGTGCCTATGTCAATTGCTGCTCTGGTTGTTAGAAGGGGCATCGCCCTCGTGACTTCGGAAGAATCTCGGCTTTCACCATGAGGCGTCATAGTCCCGCCAAATGAAGACCTTCTAAGTCCCAGGGCAGAGTTTAGATAGTTTGTATTTTTTCTGGTTGTCGTTTTTTAGCGAGTTAGTTTTTTGTGGGGTGGGGTCGCTAATATTACGTTCAAACCTCTTCATTTGCCCGGGCTTGGGACCGGCAGTAACTCTAGAAGAGCTACAGCCGGCGCACCGCTAGAGCAAACGATTCGAGTACGCGGAACGTTATTCCCGGTCTCCTGAAACCACGCTCTAAACTACACGTAGGAGCTTTCATCGTCCGAACACTGTGCCAAATAATATAGCTGGCGTCCTTAGCTGGGACTTTAGAATCCCACGACATCGATGTGTGCTGCGTCTCCGAAACGCGCATACAGGATCTGAGTGGCGTCATTCATCTGACCTCACCATGCCAAAATAAAGAACCCACTCGATTCACACTTTGTGTATCTGGAAGCCCTGATTCTGCTTCCCGTGGCCTCGCCGGCGTAGGCACAGCATTGAGTCCTAGGGTAGAACTAGCTCTCTTAGAGTGGATCCCAGTAGACAATCGTTTGTGCGCTGTCCGACAAAACGGAACAGTAAGGATCCGAAAAGATAGGGACACTCGTCTCTGCCTATTCTCCCACTGACTGCAGCTCAGATGATGTAAAAGATGAGTTTTACAGAAAGCTCGCCGACCTTCTCCGAAAAGCTAGGCGCTCTGATGTGTTAATAATGGTCGGTGAATTTAATGCTCAAGTATGTAAACTAAGCGATAGGGAAAGACAGCTGACCAGAGGTCTACGCAATGATCGCGAACAGTGGTGGGTAGCGAAAGCAAGAGAGATGGAAAAGGCAGCGGCAATATGGAACAGCAGACAATTGTTCAGACTCGTTAAGGAAACCGGAATTAGGAACCCAACTGTAGGTGAAACTATCTCAGAAAAAGATGAACATATTATTCATTCTCAATCCAGGATATTAGATCGATGGGCAGAACACTTCAGGGATCAGTTCAACTGGCCTTCAGCCACACTTCGGTTTCCCACGATCCCCAGTCAACCTGAATGGCAAGTTAATGTAGGTCCTCCGTCTCTTAACGAAGTTGAAAAAGCCATAGGAAATCTGAAACGAGGGAGAGCAGCAGGCCCTGACAGGTTTACTCCTGAGATTTTTAAGGATGATGGTCCAGTATTAGCAGTGATATTAACTGAGGTCTTAGGTAGAATTTGGGAACTGGACGTAATCCCATCTGACTGGTCTCAATCACTGATTGTGCCAGTCTATAAGAAAGGACAAAAGTCCTCTTGTGATAATCACAGAGGAATCAGTTTGACTAATATAGTGTCTAAAATATTAGCTTCAATAATACTTCGACGCCTAACCAGAGCTCGTGAAGAACAGACTAGAGAAAATCAGGCTGGTTTTCGACCTGGACGTGGTTGTATAGACCAAATATTCACACTACGTCAGGTTCTAGAACACAGACACACGTTCAGACGCCCGACAATGGTAGTATTTCTCGACCTTAAGGCAGCATTCGACTCTGTTGATCGTGAGGTTCTATGGCAGTGTTTGTCACTGAAAGGAGTACCAAAGAAGTACATTAACCTTATTCAGGCTCTCTACTCGAACACAACTGGTCGAGTGAGAGATTATGGCGAACTGTCATCAGAATTTATTGTCTCAAGTGGTGTTCGTCAGGGCTGTTCACTCTCCCCATTCTTGTTTAACTTTGTCGTCGACGTACTTTTAGAGATTATACTTTCCTCGTCTAGATTTCCAGGGCCTGAACTTCTACCGGGAGGTTCACTTGATGACTTAGAACATGCTGATGACACAGTTCTGTTTGGTGAAGACGCTGACAAAATGCAGAGTCTTCTGACCAGTCTAAGCAACAATGCAGGCATGTTCGGGATGCGATTCTCTCCCTCGAAATGCAAAGTGTTGCTTCAGGATTGGGTTGCATCGACACCCGAACTAGTGATAGGGAGTAAAGTAGTTGAGTGCGTCGACCGCTTCACTTATCTTGGAAGTCTCATCAGCCCTTGTGGTCGGGTGTGTGACGAAATCTCAGCACGGATACAGAAGGCTCGACTAGCTTTTGCAAACTTGCGTCATTTATGGCGTAGGCGAGATATCCGTCTATCAACCAATGGACGTGTTTGCTGCGCAGCAGTTCATTCCGTCCTACTTTATGGCAGTGAAACATGGCCGGTAAGAGTAGAGGATATTCGTAGGTTACTAGTATTCGATCATAGGTGTCTTCGAAACATTGCTCGTATATCATGGGACGATCGAGTAAGTAACACAGTTGTTAGGAAACGGGTACTAGGTAAGGATGGAAAATCCATTGATGAAGTAGTGAAACTTCATCAGTTGAGATGGCTGGGACACGTGCTACGTATGCCCAACGACCGACTGCCTCGACGTGCGATGTTCAGTGGTATAGGAGTAGATTGGAAGAAAGCTAGGGGCGGCCAGACCAAAACATGGCACGAATCCATGAAGTCACTGACAATTGGACTGAACCATGTTGGTAGATGTGGACTACCTGGTTGGGATACGCAAGACGATAGCAACCGATGGTTTGAGGCCTTGAATGACATGGCTCAAAGTCGTTTGCAATGGCGCAGGTGCATCCACTCTTTGTGCTCTCCCAAATTCTAATCTTCTGGATTCTTCATGTCCCTTTTTCTTTCTTTCCACATTTATTTCACTGAATTATACTCCTCGAATAACATCTCCAAACCCTAATTTATCGTATTACTGGTAATACTCGTACTACCTCTACCACTACGTAATTTGAAAGGACAACTGCATCTCTGTGCTAATGTGGTATGGCAACTCGAACTGATGTACGTACGTACGAAGTTCTACGTTGTTACTGACTGACTGAATCTGAAAGGAAGAAGAGCATTTGTTCTAGATGGATTGGCTCCAATTTTAGCGATTAGGTTGATTAATATTTTAGCTAAGATCTGGGAGTTAGACGTTATCCCATCTGACTGGTCACAATCAATTATCGTCCCAATATATAAGAAAGGGTCAAAATCATCCTGTGACAACCATAGAGGGATTAGTTTAACTAATATAATATCTAAAATACTAGCCTCGATAATTATCAAACGCCTAAGACTCGTGAACTGCAAACACGAGAGAACCAAGCTGGCTTCAGACCTGGTCGTGGCTGCATCGACCACATATTCACCATTCGTCAGGTTTTGGAACATAGGCATACTTATCGACGTCCGACAATGGTGGTCTTTCTTGACATAAAAGCAGCATTTGACTTTGTAGACCGCGAGATTCTGTGGCAGTGTCTGTCATTGAAAGGCGTACCTCAGAAGCACATAAACCTTGTAAAGGCTCTTTACTCGAACACTACTTGTCGAGTCAGGGCTTATGGCGAACTGTAATCTGCTTTTGCAACCTCAAGTGGTGTCCCTCAAGGCTGTTCACTTTCTCCATTTTTGTTTAACTTCATCAAAGACCTACTGATTGAAATAACGCTCACGTAGACTGAATTTTCGGGCATTGATCTCCTACCAGGAGGTCCACTTATCGACTTAGAATACACAGATGACATAGTCCTGTTTAGTGAAGACACTGACAAAATGTAGTCTTCTGGTAGCACTGAGCAACAATACCAAGATGTTTGGAATGCGTTTCTCCCCCTCTAACTGCGCGGCAGTTCGTTCTGTTCTACTTTACGGCTGCGAAACATGGTAAGAGCTTACCATCCAGGAGCTTAAACCAAAAAAGGTCTGTTCAGAAGCTAGGATAACCTATGTGACTTAGTATTCAAAAGTCGAAACCTTTAATCACTAAGCCATAGCTTCACACATTAGCATTGATCGTATCACCAACATTTCTCTCAACGTTTTTCAGTTCATTACGACACACCAATTTCTACTTATTGTAGGTAACGACAGCCGTGTGCTGCAATCGACATCAATTTCACACATACTTTTAGCTTATTGTAGTTGGAGAGAAGCCATATCATAAAATGAATTTACTTCACTGTGTAAACTTTGCTACATGTTCTATATTGCTGATGTAATTCCATTTTCTATTATTTTGCGGTGGAAAGTAGTAGGAATAAGAAAAATTAAACCTAAAAGTTGTGAAGTTAATACATTGATTTGATTTGCTATTTGGGTGAAGAAAATAGAGTAACGAAGCATTATCTTTGTCACAATGAAAATGAACAAATAAAACATAAACCATTTAACATTTATCGTTTTATTTGTTCTATACTGTTGTAATCGACAAGAAAATAAAATTAATTCACTAATTACCAGTTGAGGATTTCTTCGGACGAAACAAAAGACATCATCTACAGTTACTGTTGAACGTTTTGCATGCCGACTAAATGTTTCTAGATCTGTGGCAAGAATTTGGTGAAAACGGAAGATCAATTCAGTCATCAAGCAAATTATATCCATATTGACTTCACATTGCTCTTTATTAGATATTTCTTGTGCAATTTTTGTACACCTATAATGCAATTCAGCTTTGTATTCCTAGAAATTAACAAGTAAATTGTTAAATATATAATACGGTATGAGGCAGAAAGATTGAAAAAAGATAATTACAAGTCAGATAATGAGGAGTATACGGAAAATCTCAGGTTACATTAGAATTACACAACGTATCAACATTGGAACTTACATAACACTCATGTTAATCACATCATTTCATCATTCTAAGACGGTTAAAACGCAGAACTTGGTTGTCTGGCTTATTTAAAGGCTGGAACATAAGCAATATCAGACTAGATTAAAGGTAGACATACCACTATTTTATATAAGTTTAGTTTGCTATCGAATGAGTAGAAATAAAGAGAACATTGGAAAGAGTAATTCAAAAGGTAGAAACAAACGACAAAGGCAATAATAAACAAGAATGGTAAAAAGGTTGGAGTACCTATCCTGTCATAACTTAAAATAAATGATGTCTAATTCTTGTCCATGTTTACTCTCCGAGCTTAGTAATACTGACCTGTTGAAAGACATTTTATTACTGAATAATTTCAAATAACACCAAACCACTTTATTTCAGCTGTATATAATGATAATATCCTAAATGAAACGACTCATCAGATCCATTGGCTTACATTCCTACTAGTTTTCCAAAATTCATACTTATTAGATCGATATTTTTTGTAGTTCACGCGACACATAATATGTGTTGTTTCGTGTTATGCCGAAAATTCGGTAAACATTTCCACAAATCATACGTTAACATATAATTAAATAGTTACAACTAAATAAAAATTTAAACTATTTGCACGAACTTTGTGAACAAACTAATTTACTACACCGATTGAATGTCGTAACAATTTCTTAGAAACCTCTCAGTGAGATGAGAATTCATTTGAATTTAGTGACTATTTTTACACACTAATTTTCTGTGAGACCATTCATCAGGTTATTGACGAATACTCGTACTAGTTGTTCGTTTATCAATGTTTAAATCCCTACCTGTGACCAGTGAAAATGTCAGGAACGTTAAAAATTCTGTATCTACCCCAATTTATGTTACATGTGAATCTAAGTATCTATGTAAACAGAGGGAGGATGCCCCATCTTATTTATAACTTATCCCGCGCATATACTTACATTCTACTTAACTCCACTGTTTAAAATACTAACCATTTGATAAATGAATTACGGTACGCGTAGAAATCATCTAGTAATAATTTATCGTGCTAAATACATTACTCATTTCAACACAGGCACTCCCACCCTGACACAAATATGTTACTACTAGTTAGAGCTGAACATTTAATGAGTGATAGTAAGAGATGGTATGAAATGTTGGGCCCATCCTGAACACTACAACTTTCAAATCCAAGATAGGGATTCTATTGTTAAGCAACCCCCCAATCATGTCCAGTTCTATACGTTCGGCTTCGAATCTCACATTTGATTTGATGGTTATTAAATGATATAACGAGATGAGACGTCAAAACGACATCCTTTTATTCACTATGATTTTTGTTCAACACTGCTTCCGTTTTAATTCAATGTGATGATCACTCAGTGTAATGTTTGTTTTCCGGTGCGATATTTTATTCTGTATAACATGAACTAGACTCAGCATGTGATTTGTTATAACCAAGTATTTTCCACATGTGATTTTATCCTAATTATTATTCAAAATGCGTACACAATCAATATATAAATGAGTGTATTTCCGACTAGAATCGACAGATTTAGGGGTTAATAATTCTTCATTTGTACTAGTTGTGTGTTTACATTCGTGTCGTGGGAATTGCAGTGTTTCTTCGTTTTCGAGTATAAGTGATAAGCAATGCCAACATAATAATCAGTCAGTCAGTCAGTCAGTAACAACGAGTTGCCACACCACCTTAACACAGAGATGCAGTTGTCCTTTCAAATTCCGTAGTGGTAGAGGTAGCAAGAGTGTAAGCAGTGATCAGGAAGATTAGGGTTTGGAGATGTTATTCGAGGAGTATAATTCAGTGAAATAAATTTGGAAAGAGGAAAAAAGGGACATGAAGAATTCAGAAGATTAGAATTTGGGAGAACACAAAGAGTGGATGCACCTGCGCCATTGCAAACGACTTTGAGCCATGTCATTCAGGGTCTCTAACCATCGGTTGCTATCGTCTTGCGGATCCCAACCAGGTAGTCCACATCTACCAACATGGTTCAGTCCAATTGTCAGTGACTTCATGGATTTGTGTCATGTTTTGGTCTGGCCGCCCCTAGCTCTCTTCCAACCTACACCTATACCACTGAACATCGCACGTCGAGGCAGTCGGTCGTTGGGCATACGTAGCACGTGTCCCAGCCATCTCAACTGATGAAGTTTCACTACTTCATCAATGGATTTTCCATCCTTACCTAGTACCCGTTTCCTAACAACTGTGTTATTTACTCGATCGTCCCATGATATACGAGCAATGTTTCGAAGACACCTATGATCGAATACTAGTAACCTACGAATATCCTCTACTCTTACCGGCCATGTTTCACTGCCATAAAGTAGGACGGAATGAACTGCTGCGCAGCAAACACGTCCATTGGTTGATAGACGGATATCTCGCCTACGCCATAAATGACGCAAGTTTGCAAAAGCTAGTCGAGCCTTCTGTATCCGTGCTGAGATTTCGTCACACACCCGACCACAAGGGCTGATGAGACTTCCAAGATAAGTGAAGCGGTCGACGCACTCAACTACTTTACTCCCTATCACTAGTTCGGGTGTCGATGCAACCCAATCCTGAAGCAACACTTTGCATTTCGAGGGAGAGAATCGCATCCCGAACATGCCTGCATTGTTGCTTAGACTGGTCAGAAGACTCTGCATTTTGTCAGCGTCTTCACCAAACAGAACTGTGTCATCAGCATGTTCTAAGTCATCAAGTGAACCTCCCGGTAGAAGTTCAGGCCCTGGAAATCTAGACGAGGAAAGTATAATCTCTAAAAGTACGTCGACGACAAAGTTAAACAAGAATGGGGAGAGTGAACAGCCCTGACGAACACCACTTGAGACAATAAATTCTGATGACAGTTCGCCATAATCTCTCACTCGACCAGTTGTGTTCGAGTAGAGAGCCTGAATAAGGTTAATGTACTTCTTTGGTACTCCTTTCAGTGACAAACACTGCCATAGAACCTCACGATCAACAGAGTCGAATGCTGCCTTAAGGTCGAGAAATACTACCATTGTCGGGCGTCTGAACGTGTGTCTGTGTTCTAGAACCTGACGTAGTGTGAATATTTGGTCTATACAACCACGTCCAGGTCGAAAACCAGCCTGATTTTCTCTAGTCTGTTCTTCACGAGCTCTGGTTAGGCGTCGAAGTATTATTGAAGCTAATATTTTAGACACTATATTAGTCAAACTGATTCCTCTGTGATTATCACAAGAGGACTTTTGTCCTTTCTTATAGACTGGCACAATCAGTGATTGAGACCAGTCAGATGGGATTACGTCCAGTTCCCAAATTCTACCTAAGACCTCAGTTAATATCACTGCTAATACTGGACCATCATCCTTAAAAATCTCAGGAGTAAACCTGTCAGGGCCTGCTGCTCTCCCTCGTTTCAGATTTCCTATGGCTTTTTCAACTTCGTTAAGAGACGGAGGACCTACATTAACTTGTCATTCAGGTTGACTGGGGATCGTGGGAAACCGAAGTGTGGCTGAAGGCCAGTTGAACTGATCCCTGAAGTGTTCTGCCCATCGATCTAATATCCTGGATTGAGAATGAATAATATGTTCATCTTTTTCTGAGATAGTTTCACCTACAGTTGGGTTCCTAATACCGGTTTCCTTAGCAGGTCTGAATAGTTGTCTGCTGTTGCATATTGCCGCTACCTTTTCCATCTCTCTTGCTTTCGCTACCCACCACTGTTCACGATCATTGCGTAGACTTCTTGTCAGCTTGCGCTTAAGCTGACTCCGCTCTTCATTATGTTCAGAGCCAGATGGAATGAGTTTCCGAGCATCTATCAGTGCGATAGATGCTGCTTAGATCCAGTGTTTCTCCCTAACCTTGTGGTTTACCTTACTGGCGGATATCACTGCTGTTTCCACAGCTTTTCGGATATCATTCCAAGCTGCATCGGGGTGGGCAACACATACATGGCCGCCTAACTGTTTTCCTAGTTGTTCCTGAAATATACTCTTAGCTTGACTATCATTAAGTAGGCCCCTAAGAGGTTTCCATGCAGCGTCTTTCCTACGTCCAGTAAGACGCAAGCAAATACGCGCTCGCACTAATCAGTGATAACCAGATATAACAAGCAATGTTCAAATAGAAGAACTCACAGTAATGCTACGGTCCGCGAAAGTTTCTGACCGGTCGTCCAACCTGTAGTCTAGTAAGTGAGATGAAATACTTACTGTTCGTCTATGTGAGTACTGTATGACCCCCGACCGTTGTTGCTACCTTGACGTGGTGGTCGGGCTTGCCCATCGTCATGAAGCAACCGAGCTATACTGACTGGAACAATCGGTCCACAAGGTCCTACCATGTCAGACAGGTCGATTGAAGAGCGGTAACACTAAAAGCAACAAACCCGAGGTCCGAAGGCGAAGTCGTACTGCTGACTGTACAGAGGTGTGACAGCAGTAAGGTGTATCATTAGGACAACCGGCATGACAGATGCTGCCTTCCCACAAGGAGGGGTGAAGTTAGAAAAGGTCGACCCTAAAAATAAACACCTCGCCTTATTCCACGGATATCCGCCTCCGGCGGTAAGGTCTCAACAAGTAAGGAACTAACACAAAAATTACCCACAAAAAGGTCGTGTGTGACCGACCTCAAGCAGTTGTCCCTTGGGCACTGCGGTCACGCTCCCAGGTCACTAAGACCACCTCTAATCCAATTTCCTTTACAGGTACCTCCAGAACAACCATTCCACGGTGTGGGCAACCGGGAAGTGATGACCGCCCTCATACCTCTAACAGCACTCAGGACCACTGTATTCATAATCAACCTCCGTCTTCACTTCCTATTATTCCACCTACATCGACTTTCACCTCTAAACTTCCTCTTTCGGCTTCCCCCTCAAGTGTCACCATAACCAACGATTCTAGTGCACAAAACACTGTCCCGAGTCTACTGAAACCTCGCTCCAAACTACACATTGGAGCCGTCAACGTACGCACTCTATGTCAAATCGATCAGCAGGCTTCCTTGGCTAGAACCCTACAATCTCGTACCATTGATGTATGCTGTGTCTCCGAAACACGCATACAGGATCCCAGTGTGGTTATTCACCTGACCTCACCTCGGCAAAACGGAAAGCCAACGAGATACAACCTCCGTGTATCTGGTGACCCGACGGCCAGCTTTCGTGGACTGGCAGCAGTAGGGATAGCACTAAACATGAGGGCGGAGCAAGCACTATTAGAGTGGATCCCCGTTAACAGTCGTTTATGCGCTGTTCGTCTAAATGGCTCCGTAAGAACTCGGAAGGATAGGGACACACGTCATTGCCTTTTCGTCGTTTCTGTCTATGCTCCCACCGACTGCAGCTCAGATGAAGTGAAAGATGAATTTTACAGAAAGCTAAACTTTCAGACATAGTAATCGTAGCAGGTGGTTTTAGTGCCCAGATAGGTAGTTTAAACCAAACAGAAAGGCTTTTAGGTGGGTATTTTAGTATTCCAGCACAGCGAACAGATAATGGTGATCGTCTGCTGCAGCTGTGCTCAGACAATCGTTTATTTTTAGCAAACACAGATTTCAAGCATGACAGACATCGTCTAACATGGCGACCCCCTGCACCAAACCAACGATGGACTCAAATAGACCATATTGCCATCAGTCATCGTTGGAGAGAGGTTGACTAATATTTTAGCTAAGATTTGGGAGTTAGACGTTATTCCATCTGACTCGTGAACTGCAAACACGAGGGAACCAAGCTGTCTTCAGACCTGGTCACGACCACATCGACCACATATTCACCATTCGTCAGGCTCTAGAACACAGGCGCTTTTCTCCCTCTAAATGCAGTACTGGCCTGCGTCAACACCTGAACTAAGGATAGGGAGTGAAGTAGTCGAACGCGTTGACAACTTCACTTATCTTATCTTATCAGCCCTAATGGGTTGGTGTCTGCCGAAATCTCAGCAAGGATTCGAAAAGTTCGTTTGGCTTTTGCCAACTTACGTCACCTTTGGCGAAGGCGAGATATCCGTCTATCAATAAAAGGACAAGTATACTGCACGACAGTCCGTTCTGTTTTAATTTACGGCAGCGAAACATGGCCTTTAAGAGTAGAAGACACTCGTATTTGACCACAGATGCCTTAGTAATATTGCTGGCGTCTGCTGGGATCACCGGGTAAGTAATAGTGAGGTTAAACGCAGGGTATTAGGGAATGATGGTAAGTCACTTGATGAGGTTGTGAATCTTCATCGACTGAGATGGTTGGGCTACGTGTTACGTATGCCTGAACACCGATTACCACGACGTGCAATGCTAACCGGTGTTCGGGATGGTTGGAAGAAAGTTAGGGGTGGCCAAACTGAAACGTGGCATCAGTGCTTGAAGTCACCAACTTCTGGTCTGAGCCATGTTGGTAGATACAAACTACTTGGTTGGGGTCCGCGTGACAATCGTAACCAATGGTTGGAGACCCTGGGTGACATGGCTCAGAATCGATCACAATGGCGTCGGTGTATTCACTCCCTGTCTTCCCTTAAACTAAGAGATTAAAATCACTTCATATCTTTCTTTCTGCTAAGTAATTCTTTCTTCCTATACTATATCCTTATATGCAATCTTTCTCCTATATATTACGACCTTTGACCTAACCACTCCTATGAATCCGGTGTTCATCTTGCTGTGCTAATGAGTTATGGCAACCTGGACCGATGCACATATGTGCCTGGTCCTACGTTGTAGCTGACTGACTGGTATCGTTGTATTCCGACAAACAAACAAGCATGTTTTATGCAGGTGGATGAAAATAAGTAAAACTAAATAATAATAATTATTATTATTATCATAAGTAATGGTTTGACAAATAAGCACAGGTTTGCCCAATAGTTTCGGGCTTTACTTGTGCGGAATCGAGTTACTATTCAGTGTCTTAAGTTGAAATAGGTGGGATGAGGCTCAAGAATAAAAACTTGGTAACCAAACTTCAGACGACAAGACTATGGAACTACAGCAGAATAACTAAACACAAACTTTTCTACAACTCAATACAACAGTTCAATTGTAGAACGAAATGTGGCCGGAATTGAATTTAAATATATATTGATTTAATTTCAATGAATGCATAACAATAGTTGTGATAGGACTATCCAACTTTGTTCCCAGTAAACACACTTAGGACTTCGGATAGAGAAAGTACATACCAAACCCATGATTATTAACAGGACCCTAATCACAAGGAATTTTTTATGAATACCGGGCAAGTAGAGAATGTCTGCAGACTCGTTAGATTATCTTAGGCAATCATAACCAACACAAAACTACGATTACCTAATCGCACTAGCACGATGTGACATTAACAAGGGCGATACCAAGAGTAAAAATAGTAGTGAGTGAGGAAGACTAGACACTGACGAACACTGTTCGGAAAGAAGGGGTGGATACTAGAAATAGGAAGTCCGGAATAATATTGAACCCCAAGGTTTAGGGGAAGACAAACATCTACATTTGTATCAGTGATCGATTTGCAGCCACCTCACTCAACGTCTCCAATCACTGATAGCACGGACTACAACTAGGTAATCTGAATTTAACAACACAGCAACCTAAAAGTCAATGACTTTACACACCGGTACTACTCCTTAGTTTAGTAGTCCCTAGTTTCCTTCCAGCTTATTCCAACTCCGACCAAAATTGCATGTCAAGACAGGCTTTGGTTGGGAATAAACAATACATGTCCCATCTACTTCAGTTGATAAAAACCCACCAACTCCCCAAACACAGAATCGCTTCCTCGATTGACCAACGATACGATAGTGATTTCTCGACTAAAAAACCTGCGACTTACGTCTCCGAATGTCATAATCCATATCCATCAGTAAACTAGGGAAGACTACTAAGTGGCATAGTCACCACTTCGTTTGGAAACGAATAACTTTTCTACACCACATATGACTCAAGTTGGCAAAAAGAAACCAAGCTTTCTAAATTCGTGAGAAGATTTCAACACACACCAACACATCAGGACTCGTAAAACTTCCGAGACAACTCAACTACTTCACTCCCAACAACTAATCTAGACACTGGTACAGACCATCCAAAAATGTAAACCGATATAGTAAACGGCCACATTCAATCAAACACTAAAAATATCCTGGTATTAATTTATTAACAGGAAATAAATTAAGGCATCCTAATACCTATCAGTACAGTCGGAAATATATGCAAACAGTGGATACACAACATGTACACACCAAACAGGTTAGAAAATATTATTCTGAAAATAATTTATTTGTTTGATTATTTGCAGATAATAATAAATATTAGGAATAATAAAGAGAAACCAAATGATCAATTATTATGCATTTGCAGTTTTATTGTCTAAAATTACTGATTTGTGCATCGCCAAATTTCAAATACTGCTGATTAACCCGTTATTCCATTGCGGTAGTTTTTGTGTAGCTGTGGCTGAATTTGCATTACACAATTCAACAACATATTTATGGCATCTTCTTTATGAAGATTTACTGAGGCAGTCTGAGTATCGATTATTTCTTGGGTTAGCTTTTGAATCTGTGACTCAATTTCTGATCGACGACCAAGTACCTAGTAAAAATTTTAAAATAAAGTTTAAATCCGTGAGACATTTTACCATTAAAATACATCTTATCTGCCTAAGTAACTTCACCTGCAGCTCTTCTAGGGCTACTGTCGGCGCCAAGCCCACAACAAAGGGGGTTGGGCATGGGGTCGACAACCCCATTTCGTTAAAAACGTTGCTAAAAACGCTAACTAGAATAAACAATCTAAACCTTGCCCTCCGAGTTGAAGGGAGAACTATGACGCCTTATGATGAAAGCTGAGATTCTTCGGAAGTCATGAGACAGATACCCCTTCTAACAACCAGAGAAACAATTTCTATAGATATATGGAACGTCCGGACAATGTGGAAAACAGGGAGGACCAGTCGAAAAGCAACGGAAATGAGGAAATACTGCATGGCGGTATTCGGAATCAGCGAGACCCACTGGACCCGAGCTGAACAAGAAAGATGCTGCTGTACTCCGGTCACGAAGAGGAAAATGCTACATATACTCAGGAAGTTGCTCTGATGCTGTCCAAAGAGGCACAAAACGCACTTATAGGATGGATCTAGAATCACCAAAACACCCTTCAAAACAAAGGAGAGGATCACAATGAGTGTTATCCAGTGTTATGCACCCACCAATAAAAACAATGAAGACGATAAAGATCAGCTTTACGGGAAGCACAGAATACAATGGACAGCATGGATTCAGCTAGACGATTTGGACTTTACACATCACCTAGCTTTTCCATGCCATACACACCAACAAATGCTGGTGAAGACAGCGCAGCAGCAGCCTCTGCATCAGTAGGCTTGAACACATACAAGGGAAAAACCAAGATCCTGAAATATGGCACAGAGAACAACACAATCATACGTGATGGGGAGGCTCTGGAAGAGGTCGAAACTTCCACGTACCTGGGCAGTAACATCGATGAACTTGGAGGATTTGATATGGATATGAAGACAAGTTTTAGCAAAGAAGAGGCCGCATTTTTATAATTGAAAAATATATATGACTCAAAAAGCTGTCAACCAACAACTAAATCAGAATCTTCAATACGAACGTCAAGACGCTGGACGCGGATGAGACATATATTGAAGAAATCACCAAACTACATCACGAGACAAGCACTGACATGGAGTTCTGATAAGAAACAGAAAAGAGGAAAACCAAACACACCGTCAGCAATCGAAAGGAGGCATCAAAAGGATGAGTAGCAACTAGGATTGTCCAGGACAGGGTCTAACAGAGTCCTGGTGGGAGGCCTATACTCCTTCACGAGGGGTAACAGGCGTAACTAAGTGTCTAAATATCTTAAAGTTAGCATTACGGAATAAACAGAAAATCACATACACAGACAACTCACCTTACCCTCACAAATTTTAAAGTGATGCTCACGCTCAGCTCGTTCAGCTTCTATTTCTGCCTGAGCCTCAGCTTTAGCTTCCTTTAATCGTTTAGCTTTACCTGAGACAGTAAGAAAACACATTGATTATCGAGTGGTAGAAAACTCATTCTCATTGTTACAGTATATGGAAAGCAGATCTTAGTAAAGAGAAAATCAGGAAATTATTAAAAATACAACGCTATAGCAACAGTATACGACTGAAATAGTTGCACTTGGATTTAACCCTTTTGTGTCAACGAAAACGTGTTGGACATGAGTTCTAAAAAATGTTCCACATGCGAACAAACCAATAATGTGAATATATAGAAATTTGTACATAAAACAATGTATAATTAAGATACCATGAGCAAACAAATAAGAAACAGTAGTTTCTCGCTTCGATTTTAAAATGTTCAAATACAAGACCATACTAGTCACATTATTATCGGAAACACAACCTAGTGACAAAGGAAGTAACTACTGTTTGATCCAGGATCTGAGAGATTTCGAACAGAAACATACTGTTAAACATCTGACTTTTCATAGTCAAAGCGTTACGACGTAGCTCACATCCGAAAAGTAGCTTTGAAGAACAACAAAGTATTAAGAAACTCAGTGGTCTTGCGGACAGAGCAATTGTTTTTAACTGGCACGTCAGGTTCGAACTTTGCTCCACTCGGATCTGAGTGGACGAGAAGTAGTATTATTATCCCTGAACTCAAGTGTGACTTGAAGCTGGGGATGTTGAATAATATCTAATTCATAAGACACTTTCAACCTTTATTTAGAAATTCAGAAAACCATGTAGCTGAAATAATAGAAAATATTGCGTTAACTAATTCACCAAGTGACTATTACTGGAAATGAGGATTGTTGCTGTCTGGGAACAGTTGTCACAAAACCATCGATATGTCTTGAGTAGACACATTAAGAGTCATCGGAACAATGGTTAAAACCTACAATTGTACTGCTATACACTAGGTGAAGTATCTAAATCTTGCTTTTAAGTACTATCTTGTGGACCCTTATAAATGACAGCCTATCCCACTGGCCATACCAAAAGACCCTCATTGTTATTTAAACGTTTTTAGTACGTGACCAGGTTACTGACGATTTAATGAGCATTCTAAAAAGGTCGCCTGGCTAGTGAAACCAATACGCATTTGATTTACAAAACCTTAAATGGTGCAACAAAATGGTGACCAAGTAATCAACTGGGTCAAACCTCCAGAAAGGGTCCAAAGTTATCGATGGAATATAGGCTTTTTACCTGATAGCAATGATATATAAAACTAACTCACGCCTTTTTGCCTCATTTACTTTCTCACTGGCACTCTTTTCGGCTTGCAAAAGGAGCTGAATACCATCATTCCTTGAGGCCATTCTTGATGATGAACCTTGAAATTTATCTTCTACTCACGAAGATACACACTTAAACAATTACTCCGGTTACTGATTCTGAAGGTTGAAAGACATGGTCTAGTTCTGACGTTATAGACATTTTTCAGAAACATGACTCACGAAGAACGTCTAGTAGAATATTAAAGTATGGATTTCCAGTTGTTGGTAGTATAGTGGTACTGAAAATGTTCCCATTACAAAATTCCCAAAAGAGACAGCATTGATGTTGCGGTTATAAGTTTTGTTGTACACAATCCAGTTGGAAGTACTAGATCACGCATTTGCACCAGATCATCATATAGCAGTAAATAAATCCCCAAAACCAATGGCTTTATAAGTCTTCGACATCTGAAGCTTACCTAATTAGTTTTAGTGGACTCGCCTAGCTGAACGCATTCGGTCATACTTCCTCAACAGATCACGAGTTGGCAAACTATACTCAACTTCTCCGACAACAGCTAGCCAGCTTGCAGAAATATATTATTATTATTATTAGATCAGTCACTTCTCAAACTCCGCCTGTAGCTCTCCCAGAGTTACTGCCGGTCCCAAGTCCGGGTAAAGGAGGAGGGTTGGGCATGGGGTTAGCGTCCCCATCCCGTAGAAAACTAACTCGCTAAAAAAACGCTTACCAGAAAAAATATTCCAAACCATTTTAACTCTGCCCTGGGAGTTAGAAGGTCTTCATTTAGAAGAATTATGACGCGTCATGGTGAAAGCCGAGTTCCTTCGGAAGCCACGAGGCCGATGCCCCTTCTAACAACCAGAGCAAAACTTTTCATAGGTACATGGAACGTTCGAACAATGTGGGAAACCGGGAAGACCAGTCAAATAGCAATGGAAATGAGGAGATACAACTTAGCAGTACTGGGAATCAGCGAAACCCACTGGACTCAAGCTGGACAGAAAAGGCTAGCTACGGGAGAGATGCTGCTATACTCCGGTCACGAAGAGGAAAATGCTCCACACACTCAGGGAGTCGCTCTTATGCTGTCCAAAGTAGCACGAAATGCACTTGTAGGATGGGAATCTCACGGATCCAGAATCATCAAAGCATCATTCAAAACAAAGAAGGAGGGGATCTTAATGAATATTATCCAATGTTATGCACCCACAAATGATAGCAACGACGACATTAAAGATCAGTTCTACGAGCGGCTGCAGTCAGTCATTGAGAAATGCCCAAGAAAGGACCTAACTATTCTGATGGGAGATCTAAATGCCAAAGTCGGAATAGACAACACTGGATATGAAGATATTATGGGACGACATGGACTGGGAGAAAGGAACGAAAATGGAGAAAGATTTGCAAATCTATGTGCATTCAACAAATTGGTCATAGGAGGCACAATATTTCCACACAAGCGTATACACAAGGCTACATGGATCTCACCGGACAACACTACAGAGAACCAAATAGATCATATCTGCATCAATAAAAAATTCCGAAGGACAATGGAAGATGTGAGAACCAGGAGAGGAGCTAATATAGCTTCAGATCACCACCTAGTTGTGGCCAATTTAAAACTGAAGCTAAAGAAAAACTGGACAACTTGACAAACAGCACTACAAAGGTTCAATACAGCCTTCCTTTGAGATACTGACAGACTCAATGAATTCAAGATAGCTCTCAACAACAGGTTCCAAGCCTTACAAGATCTACTGAAAGAAGAAGAAACTCCTATGGAGGACAACTGGAAAGGCATCAAGGAAGCATTAACTTCAACATGTCAAGAGGTCCTGGGTCTAAAGAAATACCATCATAAGGAATGGATCTCTACAGAAACACAGGACAAGATCAAAGAAAGGAAGAACAAGAAGGCAGCAATAAACAACAGCCGAACACGAGCAGAGAAAGTCCAAACACAAGCTGAATACACAGAAGCAAACAAGCAAGTGAAGAGGAGCATTAGAGCCGACAAGAAGAAATACGTGGAAGAACTAGCAAAGACGGCGGGAAAAGCTGCTAGAGAAGGAAATATGAAACAGCTTTATGATACAACGAAGAAACTATCAGGGAAATACAGTAAACGAGAGAGACCGGTCAAAGACAAAGAAGGCAAGCCAATCATTGAAATTCAACAACAGCGGAACAGATGGGTAGAATACTTCGAGGAACTCCTGAATAGGCCGGCTCCAATGAATCCACCGGACATCGAAGCGGCACACACAGATCTTCTCATAGACGTCAACCCACCAACGAAGGAAGAAATCAGAATGGCCGTCAGACAAATCAAGAACGGGAAAGCAGCGGGACCGGACAACATACCAGCTGAAGCACTGAAGTCAGACATCGAAGTAACTACAAACATGCTACACCTTCTATTCAAAAAGATTTGGGAGGAGGAACAAGTACCGATGGACTGGAACGAAGGGCACCTCGTCAAGATTCCAAAGAAAGGAGATCTGAGCAAATGTGAAAACTATAGAGGCATTACACTGTTGTCAATACCAGGGAAGGTCTTCAACAGGGTGTTGCTGAACCGGATGAAAGATGCAGTAGACGCCCAACTTCGAGATCAACAAGCTGAATTCCGTAAGGATCGATCGTGCACAGACCAAATTGCAACACTACGGATCATCGTCGAACAATCAGTTGAGTGGAACTCGTCACTATACATCAACTTCATTGATTATGAAAAGGCATTTGACAGTGTGGATAGGAGAACGTCATGGAAACTTCTTCGACACTATGGAGTTCCTGAGAAGATTGTCAACATTATCCGGAACTCATACGACGGACTACAGTGCAAAGTCGTGCATGGAGGACAGCTGACAGATGCATTCCAAATAAGGACCGGAGTCAGACAAGGCTGTTTACTCTCTCCCTTCCTCTTTCTTCTGGTGGTCGACTGGATTATGAAGACCTCAACATCTGAAGTAAAACACGGAATTCAATGGACAGCTCGAAATCAATTAGACGTTTTGGACTTCGCAGATGACCTAGCCCTCCTATCACGTACACAGGAACAGATGCAGATGAAGACAGTCAGTGTAGCAGCAGTCTCTGCATCAGTAGGCCTCAGTATACACAAAGGGAAAACCAAAGTCCTCAAATTCAAAGCGGAAAACAACAATCCAATCACTCTTGATGGTGAAACTCTGGAAGATGTAGAATCCTTCACATACCTGGGAAGCATCATTGATGGACAAGGAGGTTCAGATGCAGACGTAAAGGCGAGGATTGGCAAAGCGAGGGCCGCATTCCCACAACTGAAGAACATATGGAACTCAAAACAACTCAACCAATATCAACGCCAGAATCTTCAATACCAACGTCAAGGCAGTTCTACTGTATGGAGCTGAAACTTGGAGAACTACAACAACCACAACCAAGAAGGTACAAGTATTTATAAATAGCTGTCTACGCAAGTTACTCAACATCCGTTGGCCGGATACCATCAGCAATAGTCTTCTGTGGGAGAGAACAAACCAACTTCCAGCTGAAGAGGAAATTAGGAAAAGACGATGGAAATGGATAGGACATACATTACGCAAATCGTCAATCTGCATCACGAGGCAAGTCCTAACTTGGAATCCTGAAGGGAAGCGAAAAAGAGGAAGGCCAAAGAACACATTGCGTCGGATAATAGAAGCAGATATGAAAACGATGAATTACAACTGGAAGGAGCTAGAAAGGATTGCCCAGGACAGGGTTGGATGGAGAATGCTGGTGAGCGGCCTATGCTCCTTCACGAGGAGTAACAGGCGTAAGTAAGTAATTCACTTCTCAATATATCGATATTCTTTCAAATATAACTTCAAGTCTCTTTCTATTTGACTTCTGTTTTTATCGAGTTGGTACGTTTGGATTATAGAAGGTGTTGTAGTGGTAAACAAATCCCCAAAATAACTCTGTAAGTCTTCGATATTGGATGCTGACCACATTTGTTTTAATGGACTCACCTGAGTGAATGCGCTCGGTCATGCATCCGCACAAGATAACAAGTGGGAACGCCGTTCTCAACGTTCCCTGCAATCGCTAGCCAGTGTAGATCAGTCGATCCTCTATATATTGATAGCCTATCAAATATATCTTCGAACCTCCTCACTTCTGTCCTTTGATTTCACTTGGTGGGTGCGATTCATATGAGGTGTTACTGATTAAGGCGTTGTCAAACCTCAAATACCTGTGACATCTTCATTGGTGAGCCTGACGTGATCTGGTATACCGAATTGCAGACTGTGAGTCTGTTCCTTTTTGGAATTTCATAAATCATTGTTTTATTTTATTTTTTATATAGTGTGATATTTTTTCCTCTTTCATTCTCGTACTTGATATTTCACCATGGTGGAACAGACACTCAATGCACTCAAGTTAAAGACCGTGAATCCACCTTCAATTCAACTAATGCCGATCTGGCCAGACAACGTTGAATCCCAGTTCTGGCACATAGAAGCCGACTTCTACGACCACGAACTGAACGACATACGTGCACAACTCCTCGCAGTAGTCAGGGCACTTCCACGCGGATTTAACAGTTACGTCACGCCTGGTGTGTTTACTAGTGATATTTCGGAACCCTACGAAACACTTAAACGATCTATTCTTAAACGCAAAGATTTAACCGATTGACAAAGGTCAGACCAAGTCCTTAATAATATTGACTTGCAACATGGTTCTGCGACAGATATGTTGCTAAAAATGAGAGAGGTGATTGGCCAAAGAATTTTCGATGGCGGCATATTTCTACAACATTTCTTATCTAAACTTCCTCAACAGGTGCAAGCTGTGCTGGTCTCGTCTCAAAACAACGCTGTAGACGAGCTGGCTGCATCTGCCAACCGCATCCCTGAAATCACGAAATCTCTTAATGCCGGAGTTTTCTCAATCAAAGAAAAACCTCAAACGACCCAGAATGACATCATGGAACTATGTCATTCGTCGACACGTTATATGCAGTTTTGTAATGGCCGTAAACGGTCACACACTCAGCGAAGAAGCACTTCACATAGCCGACCTGTTTCTAGAACACGAGAAA